GGTTGCTAGGTAGTGGACAAGTTTAGTCGGATTCGGAAACGCCGATGAAGGCCTAAAAAGCCGAAACGCGCGTACGTTTTCTGAACCACTTGTATGTTACCGATTAATACTTCTACGCTTACCTACATACAGGTTCTCGCCTAGTACTCAGTGATATTAGTCAGGTCGGTCGAACCGAGCTTGCAGCTTTCTACCCGTTTTCTTAGTTTGAGAGCACACAGACGCAAACGCATGCACAGGAGCTGAAGAAAGCTGCAGATAGATGCAGACACTTGTGTATGTATGCGCATGCCCCTTTTTCGCTCCACACACACACAAATGGGACAAAAATACATGCACAGTCCCCCCCTCTCCTCCCCGACACCAACACTGGAAGAAGGACACGCACACACCTCCTCCCCCCAACACACACAGAACCCACCCACCCCTCCCAGACACCAGCCTCCACCGCCCACAGCACACGCGCACCTCGGTGCAGAATGAGCAGGGCGTCATCCACACGCCCAGCAGCAGCACACGCCGCTCCCAGCTTCACCCACACCGCCGCCCGCCCCTCCACCTCCTGCCATAACGCCTCCGCCCCTCCCCCTTGCCCCTCTGACGCTGTCGCTGCCCCTCCGGCCTCTGAAGCAGCAGCACCCCCGAGATCCCGAGCAGCAGCATCTGCAGCGGCGGCAGCAGCAGCAGCGAGGGCCACGTCGTCCCAGTGGCAGCAGAGCGGGCGGTAGAAGCGGACGGCATCTGCCGCCCGGCCAACAGCCATGAAGGCATCGCCTGCCTCTGTGAAGAGGTCTGCACAGTCCCCTGCACTCTCCTGCTCCAATGCCTGCAGGTACGGCTGCAAGGAGGGAGGGGCGAGTGGTGGAGGAGGGGAGGGGGGAGAAAGGGGGGTGTTTGTTGCAAGGAAGTAAACGAAATCTGAATACGATCACCTAATGGCACTGGGTGTGCATCAGGAGAATCCAATCGCACAAGTTCCGCCTCTCCTGTGCATTTGTGAGTCATGAATCATGGTAGAATGAACAAGCAGGGAGAAGAAGGGTTTCCTGCGCCTTGCAGCCCGGAGCCGAGTTCCACATGGTTTACACAGAAGCGGCGAAGCAACAGCGGGAAAGGCAGGCCATCCTCCCGAGCTTGTGGAAACACTGCTCCGCCTCACCTGTGCGTCTGTGACTCGGCCCCGGCACACGAGGCACACGCCTGCCTCGGCACCCAGGTCAACCGGCAGGGCAGAGCAGAGGGCAGAGCACAGGGCAGAGCACAGGGCAGAGCACAGGGCAGAGCAGAGGGCAGAGCACAGGGCAGAGCACAGGGCAGAGCACAGGGCAGAGCAGAGGGTTCACCTGAGCGTCTGTGAGGCGGCCCAGGCGCACGAGGCACGTGCCCGCCTTGGCGCCCAGGTCCACCGGCAGGGCCTCCCCAGGACACAGCGACGCCCGCGCTCGCTCCACCACACCCAGCGCTTCCAGGAAGCTTCCCTTGGTCATGTAGAGCTCGGCGAGAATGTTTACAGCCGTGAGATCGAGCGGGGCGGCGGGGGTGGAGGAGGAGGAGAGGAGGGACTGGAGGACCTCGATGGCCTTGTCTGATTGGTCGATGCGGTGATACATCTGGGGGAGGGAGGAGAGAGGAGGGTGGGCAAGGCAAGGTGCCCTGAGCCTGTTGCAGTGATGGCATGGGCGTGACTCGTGAGGACACATTGCATCACGGGCCCAGCACAAGATGCCTCCGCCATCTGCTTCCAACTCCCAGCCACGCCATACCGTGTCCGCCCATCCACCCCACACAATCCCATGCCACACCAAGTCCTGCAATGCCACACCTCACCACTCCATGCACTTAACCGCCCTTCCATCTCACCCGCGCCAGCATCTTGCAGACCTCCCCATCTGTCTCCCGCTGCCCGTCCGCCTCCCTGTGTGCGCGCATGAGCTCCAGTGCCGCCGCGGCCCGCCGGTAGTCCCCTGCCTCCGCCAGCAGCAGCGCCTGCTCCCACCTCGCCTCCACGTCCGATGGGTCCCGCCGCACCACCTGGTGGGGACGGCACGGGGAGGAGCGGTTGAGTGGGAAGAGCGGATGAAAGACGAGGCAAGTGGACGGCAACGATTGATCCACCTCGCAGCAGCAACGCCTGGCCGTGCCTTGCCTCCACGCCCAAGTGGGGGCGAGGTGCTGTGTGCAGGAGGGATGGGGGGAGCGAGATGCGGTTGAAGGGGAGCGGAGGGGAGGAGAGCGGCAGGGGTGTGCGGCAGTGCCCGTGGCAGCATGAGACGGCCTGGGCAGTGCAGTAAGGTGCGGGAGGTAGGCGTCAGGGCAAGGTGCAGTGGCCGAGAAGGGAGAGAAGAGAAGTGCGGTTGGAGAAAAGAAATGTGGATGGAGAAGAAAAGGGCGAAAAGGAAGTACTGAGGGGGAAGTACCTTGGAGAGGCAGTAGAGTGACTGAGAGGGGTTGCCCAGTTCCCTGCAGCACACAGGAGGGCGCATGAGAGGTGGGAGAGGGGTACAGGAATCAATCGTGGTTGGCTGAGGGCCAATCACAGGAACTATCTTCAGATACTTTCTTGTCACTAGGCAATCAAGCACCCACCAGAAACTCACTATTAGCTAGCTGCCCCTCTTGCCTCTCCCCCTTTTGCACTCCAAGCCATCCCCAAGCATGCTCTCTGCTCCCCTACCCCACCTCTCTCTTCTTACAGTGACCAGGCAGCGAGGCGGCGCCAGAGCGCGCTGTCCTGAGGGGTGATGTGCGCGGCGATCATGCTCAGGTTCACGGCCTTCTTCCTATCCCCCATTGCGTCGTACACGAGCGCCAGCGTCTGGTAGCTGTCGGGCACCGCAGGGGCCTCCCGTATCACTGCCTCCAGCAGCGGAATGGCCTGGCGGGGAGGGGCAGGATGGGAAATGCAGTGGCTTATGCACATCAGCAGTGCCACCGCAGTCTAGTGGGATGTAATGTGGGCTCTGCTTAACTCTTTCACTCTCCTCCACCTCGCTGCACCACTCCTAATCTTGCTGCACCGCTCCTAACCTCGCTGCACCGCTCCTAACCTCTCTGCACTGCTCACCACCTCGCTGCACCGCTGCTCACCTGGCTGCACCGCTGCTCACCTGGCTGCACCGCTGCTCACCTCACTGTAGCGCCCCATGGCGTACATGAGGTTGGCATCGCCTAGCCGAGCCACCACCTCAGGAGACAGGCGTGAAGTCCCCTTAGGACGGCCCCGTTTGCACAGCTGCCAGGGAGAGATGTGGAGGGGTGATGATGATGTGACGAGAGAATGGAAGAAATTACAAGCACGGGGGAGAAGGGCGAGAGGGCGTGGGGAGAGCGTGGGGAGAGCGTGGGGAGAGCGTGGGGAGAGCGTGAGGAGAGCGTGGAGAGAGTGTGGGGAGAGCACGGGGAGAGAATGGGGAGAGCATGGGGAGAGCACGGGGAGAGCACTGGGAAAGCGTGGGGAGAGCGTGGGAATGGACGGACCATCTTCCTTCGCTTGCGAGACGGCGCCGTGGCGGCCTCCCAGATCTCGTCCATGCTAGCTCCAAACAACGCCGCCCGCGCCACCCCTCCACCGCCTCCTCCCCCCTCGTCGCTGCTGTCCCCATTGCCCTCCTGTGTGCGGCGGCACCTGCGTGGAGAACAGGAGGAGGCGGGGAGCGAGGGCGGGAGGGGGGAGGAGTGAGGACGGGAGGGGGGAGGAGCGAGGGCGGGAGGGGGGAGGAGCGAGGGCGGGAGGGGGGAGGAGTGAGGACGGGAGGGGGGAGGAGCGAGGGCGGGAGGGGGGAGGAGTGAGGACGGGAGGGGGGAGGAGGGAGGACGGGAGGGGGGAGGAGCGAGGGCGGGAGGGGGGAGGAGTGAGGGTGGGAGGGGGGAGGAGTGAGGGCGGGAGGGGGGAGGAGCGAGGGCGGGAGGGGGGAGGAGTGAGGACGGGAGGGGGGAGGAGCGAGGGCGGGAGGGGGGAGGAGTGAGGACGGGAGGGGGGAGGAGCGAGGGCGGGAGGGGGGAGGAGTGAGGACGGGAGGGGGAAGGAGCGAGGGCGGGAGGGGGGAGGAGCGAGGACGGGAGGGGGGAGGAGTGAGGACGGGAGGGGGGAGGAGCAAGGGCGGGAGGGGGGAGGAGGGAGGACGGGAGGGGGGAGGAGCGAGGGCGGGAGGGGGGAGGAGTGAGGACGGGAGGGGGGAGGAGCGAGGACGGGAGGGGGGGAGGAGCGAGGGCGGGAGGGGGGAGGAGCGAGGGCGGGAGGGGGGAGGAGTGAGGACGGGAGGGGGGAGGAGCAAGGGCGGGAGGGGGGAGGAGTGAGGGCGGGAGGGGGGAGGAGCGAGGGCGGGAGGGGGGAGGAGCGAGGGCGGGAGAGGGGAGGAGCGAGGACGGGAGGGGGGAGGAGCGAGGGCGGGAGGGGGGAGGAGCGAGGGCGGGAGGGGGGAGGAGTGAGGGCGGGAGGGGGGAGGAGCGAGGGCGGGAGGGGGGAGGAGCGAGGGCGGGAGGGGGGAGGAGTGAGGACGGGAGGGGGGAGGAGCGAGGGCGGGAGGGGGGAGGAGTGAGGGCGGGAGGGGGGAGGAGCGAGGGCGGGAGGGGGGAGGAGCGAGGGCGGGAGGGGGGAGGAGTGAGGACGGGAGGGGGGAGGAGCGAGGGCGGGAGGGGGGAGGAGCGAGGGCGGGAGGGGGGAGGAGCGAGGGCGGGAGAGGGGAGGAGCGAGGACGGGAGGGGGGAGGAGTGAGGACGGGAGGGGGGAGGAGCGAGGTCGGAAGGGGGGAGAGGCGAGCAATGGGAGGGGAGGGGGGAGGAGTGAGGGACGGGAGGGGGGGGGACGAGGAATGGAACGGGGGCGGAGATTGGAGAGTGGAGTGCAGAGAAGAGATGTTAATAAGAAGAGAGGGGGAGAGGAGAGAGGAAAGAGGGAGGACGAATGTGGAGAGGGCAGGGGGAAAGCGAAAGCAACATGGGGAGGGAGGGAGTGGGGAGGGGAGACACAGGAATTAGAAGTGGAAGACGAGAGGAGGTTTTTAAGGGTTTAAGTAGGAGGAACGGATAGGCCACAGACAAGCGGCCCACACACCTTCTCCGCAGCAGCCGCTCCTCTCCCTCCTCGCCCCCGTCCCCCCACCCTGGAGTGCCCCCCACGGTCCCCCCTCCCCCGTCGCCCCCTGCACCGCGCCCCCAGTGGGAGAGGGTCTCCAGTGCCAGAGCGGGGTTGCGGTGGGCCGCTGATAGCGACGCCGCTGCCGCAGCGCCGCCAGCCATCCATGCGCCCAGCGCACCGCCCTCCCCCTCCTCCTCCTCGCCCTCGCCTGCACTGCCACGCTTCCCTCCCCTTCCCCTGCCCCTCCCTCTCCCCCGCCCCCTCCCCATCCCTCTGCCCCTCCCTCTGCCCCTCCCCCTGCCTCTCCCCCGTCCCCTCCCTGCACCCACATTATCCCACTGCCCCTCCCCGACCTCCTCGCCCCCCTCCCCTTCCGCAGCACCACCTGCATCCCCACTGCTCTCCCCTCGACCCGTCCCCTTCCCCCTCCCCCTCCCTCTGCCTCTTCCTCTTCCCCTCCCCCTGCCCCTCCCGCTTTCCTTGCCGCCACCTGTCTCCCCTTCTCCTCCACTTCCCCTCGGCCTTCCCCTCCCTCTGCCCCTGCCTTCACCCCTCCCCCCCCCTCCCCCTCCCCCTCCCCCTTCCCCTTCCCCGCCCTCGTCCGTGACCCCGTCCCATCACATCGCCTTCCAGTCTCTCCTCGCTCATCCCCTCCCCTCCCCCCTCTGCTGCTGGCCCCCCCTCGCTCCACGCCTGCGCGCCTGCACCATCGCGCCGTTGCAACTCCTCCCCGCGCCCCTGCTGTGGCCCGCTCTCCTCGCCCTCCCCGTCCTCCGAGTCCCCCTGCCCGCTGCTCGACTCCGGCGCCCAGTCTGAGTCCTCCCCTTCCTCCTCATCCGTTTCTTCCCCCTCTTCCTCCTCATCCTCTTCGTCTTCCTCCTCCTCGTCCTCCTCATTTCTCCTCTCGTCCTTCTCACCCGCCTCCTCACCCTGCTCACCCTGCTCACCCTGCTCACCCTCCTCACCCGGCTCGCCCGGCTCGCCGCGGTCATCGTCATCTTCTCGTACGGCACCTGTCTCGTCGCCCTCCAATTCCTCCTCTTCATCCTCTTCCTCCTCCCCTTCTTCCTCTTCCTCCTCGTACGCGATATTGTCAGCCTCGTCATCGATCACCTCCTCCACGTCAGCCACTTCTTCCAAATCCCCTTCCTCCATCGCCCCCATGTCCCCCCCCTCCCCCTCACGCTCTCCCTCTCCCTCACGCTCTCCCTCTCCCTCCTGCTCCATCGCCACGTCATCAACGTGCCACGCGTCAAGCAGGCCGGTGTCGTCGCCGTCCTCGTCGATGCGTGTGGGGCCCACACCCCCCCAACCCCCCACACTCGCCATCCCGCCTGCGCTTGCGCGCATGCGCCACTCCCCCGAGCGGCCCTCTGTCGCTGCGCGAGAACTCCCCGCAGCTCGTCTCATGCCGTGCGGTGGCCGCGATTCAGCGCGAGTGCCGCAGGGTTACTGCGGAAGAAGTGGACGCGTGGATGGCACGGCAGCGCAAGACGCTTTCAGTGACACAAGGGAATTTCAGCTACGCGCGTTGTTCGTTGGTGACACTGTGGCAGCGTGACATGGTACACACAACATCATGACATCATGTTTGTACGAACACAGGTTCCGCAGAGCGGATGTCCTGCATCCTTGTACGAACGTGAGAGGACATCGTACGCGGAAAGAGCAACCTCTTTTAATCGCTCCGGGACACAGAAATCAATCCCGTTCTGTAGCGCTGCATGTATATCAGTGTTAATATATTTTGAGACCTAACCTAAACCATTAAAATTTCTAGACATTGCTGATTTTCAGCCCTGTTTTTCACAATGAGAATATCCCTGACATCTCTACTTTCTCCCAGAAATGCAATATCAAGAAAAAGAGAGGGGTGAATGCTCAATCAGTTTGAGCAATGACAAGAGGGTCTTGGGTAGGCAGCTGCACCCACACAAACTCCTCCACATACCCCATGCTCTGCTCCTGCAAGCCCCCCCGCTGACCTGCTACCTCACAGCCTTTCACGTCCCCACTGCCTGCATCTCTGCTGCCCGCTGCACTGCTGCTTCCCTCTGCACTTGCCCCCACTGCTGTTGCTTTAACTCCTGAATCCACACTTCTTGGAACAGCGACACTGCTCTGCTGTGCAGTGCTGAGCGGTGAAGAGCGGCAGCAGGAGTTGGGGCAGACGTAGACTGCCAGTGTGGCGAAGTCGAGCGCTGAGTCAGCAGTGGCGTCAGGCGCACTGTAGTAGATGATTTGCGGGAGCACCTGGAGGGGAGACGGGAAGAGGGAAGAGGGGAAGCAATGGAAGTGTTTTGAGGCGTGTCAGAGTGCAGGAGCGGCATGGCTTGCCCCATGGGTGGCGTGGCTTGGGGGCGTGCATGGCGTGAGGGATGTGGGTGGGCAGGACGGAAGGCAGGCGGAACAGGGTACCCGGAAGGGAAGGGGGAGGTGAGTGCAAGAGCACGAATGGAGTGGAGAGGAGAGGCTGCGCGTGCATGAGCAGCCAGTTCAGGATGACCGACGGTGATTGCAGGCTGGTGGGCAGGTGTGGGGTGAGTGGGCCAGTGAGTGTCCCCGCTTCACTCCCGTTCAGCATCAGGGTGGTGCAGCAACGGCATTGAAGGAACCCCATGGTGGAAGGGGCGGAGCAAAAGACTTCCCTGATTTCAGACACTTCCACCTGAACGCACTGGGGCAACCCACCTGAGAATCCACCTGAGCGCACCTGGAACTCGAATATCCTGGGAGCACCACAGCCACCACAGGGGGGAATGGCAGCCTGGCTGGGCGGCTGCCCCTGCAGCTGCGGCCACAGCGGACGGGCGGTGGCTGATCGGCAGTATCTGAGTGGGGGCGATATGGGAAGGAGGACAGAAGAAAGTAGAGAGGAGAGGGGAGGGGAAGGGAAGGGAGGAGGGAGGGGGAGGATGGGTGAAAGCAAGGGTGTGGACAGGTGTGTGTGTGTGTGTATGACGGAGGTTCTGCGTTTGAGGGGGGGGGGGGGGTGAAACGTTGTGTGTGTGATGGGTCTATTTCGAATTTGAAAGGGGCCACTTCAAATCACCTTAGTGCCTTGGCAATCACCTGATCACTTGTTCAGGTGCCTTGGCAATCACCTGATCACTTGTTCAGGTGCCTTGGCAATCACCTGATCACTTGTTCAGGTGCCTTGGCAATCACCTGATCACTTGTTCAGGTGCCTTGGCAATCACCTGATCACTTGTTCAGGTGCCTTGGCAATCACCTGATCACTTGTTCAGGTGCCTTGGCAATCACCTGATCACTTGTTCAGGTGCCTTGGCAATCACCTGATCACTTGTTCAGGTGCCTTGGCAATCACCTGATCACTTGTTCAGGTGCCTTGGGAATCACCTGATCACTTGTTCAGGTGCCTTGGCAATCACCTGATCACTTGTTCAGGTGCCTTGGCAATCACCTGATCACTTGTTCAGGTGCCTTGGCAATCACAGCCTGGAAAGCGGCCCATTGCTTCTTCTCTGCATCCGCCCCCTGAAATACCCACCATGCCATGCCACACCACACCATGCCACACAGCACCACACCATGCCAAACCACACCGAGAGGGCATTGAGGGGAAAGGGGCGCAACTTCGTTTGTATCCAATCAAGGAAGGAGGGGTGGCATTGGGGGGAGCAGAGGCTAGACGTGGGCGGGTAGGTGGGTGGGTGAGTGATTGGGTGGTTGGGTGGGCGGATGGGTAAGCAGGGATGTGAGGCACAGCGAGAAGGAAGCGGGAGTGCGACTCCTACTGGGAAGGCAGGGAGCCAAGGGGCGAGAGCGACACAGTCAGGCAGGGGAATGAAAGGCAAGGTCGCAATGCAGATCAAACTCGGCACTGATACTTGAGTCAATATTCAACTCACTGCGCCCACCCCATGCGCAAGCCCACCCCATGCCCACTCCATGCCCACGCCATGCCCACTCCATGCCCAGCCCATGCACACGGCCACCCCGTCCCCCACGCCACCCACTTCACAGGAGCGCCTCACATCTCCGAAGCCCTCCAGCTCGCTCGCAGCAATGGGCCCCTCCGCCCTGGTGCGCTCCCGATACTCCCTCATTAGCCGCCGCACCTCCGCCCCCCCGGCCCCCGCCCCAGGCCCCTTTTCCCCTTCACTCCCCCCCTCTCTCCCTGCCTCCTCTCCGTTCTCACCCTCCTCGTCCTCCTCGCCCTCCTCTGGCTCCTCCTCCACCACCATCTCCCACTCCTTCCACCCTCCCCTGTCCAGCACCGTCACTCTCCAATCCGCTGCTGACACGTCATTCCCTGCGCCCCCTGCTGACTCAGCATCTGCTGACGCGGAAGGTATCCTCGCTGCTGACGTGTCGGTGCCGGGAGGATGGGACGGGGCAGAAGGAGCAGCGGCAACAGGCGGAGGAGTGTGAGGAGCAGAGGGGGCAGCGGTGGAGGGGGCAGCGATGGAGGGGGCAGCGGTGGAGGGGGCAGCGGGTGGGGAGGTGGAAGAGGTGGGAGGAGGAGTGCGGGGGCAGGCAGCGCTGTGGCCCGCTCGCCAGTGCTCCTTCTGGTGCGCCCAGGGGCGTTTGGAAGGCGGTGAGCAAGTGTCGGGAGGATAGCGGGAGGGACACAAGGAGCGAACAGGGAAGAGAGGAAGATCAGTGCTCAAAGGTGTGGTGTGGTTTGAGTGAGGGCAGGGAGGTGTGGTGGAAGGGCAGGGAGGTGTGGTGGAAGGGCAGGGAGGTGTGGTGGTTTTAAAGAATTAAGTCAAGCCATCCAACTCCTCACCTCCCAATGGCAACGTGCAGGAATAGGGGAGAACGAATGGTGTGATGCTGTGATGGTTGTGAAGCAGGATGGGGGGAGGCACGACACGGCGGGCGAACCTGGTGGTCCTTGCTGCAGTACGAACCTGGTGGTCCTTGCTGCAGTACGAACCTGGTGGTCCTTGCTGCAGTACGAACCTGGTGGTCCTTGCTGCAGTACGAACCTGGTGGTCCTTGCTGCAGTACGAACCTGGTGGTCCTTGCTGCAGTACGAACCTGGTGGTCCTTGCTGCAGTACGAACCTGGTGGTCCTTGCTGCAGTACGAACCTGGTGGTCCTTGCTGCAGTACGAACTTGGTGGTCCTTGCTGCAGTACGAACCTGGTGGTCCTTGCTGCAGTACGAACCTGGTGGTCCTTGCTGCAGTACGAACTTGGTGGTCCTTGCTGCAGTACGAACCTGGTGGTCCTTGCTCCAGTACGAACCTGGTGGTCCTTGCTGCAGTACGAACCTGGTGGTCCTTGCTGCAGTACGAACCTGGTGGTCCTTGCTGCAGTACGAACTTGGTGGTCCTTGCTGCAGTACGAACCTGGTGGTCCTTGCTGCAGTACGAACCTGGTGGTCCTTGCTGCAGTACGAACTTGGTGGTCCTTGCTGCAGTACGAACCTGGTGGTCCTTGCTGCAGTACGAACCTGGTGGTCCTTGCTGCAGTACGAACTTGGTGGTCCTTGCTGCAGTACGAACCTGGTGGTCCTTGCTGCAGTACGAACTTGGTGGTCCTTGCTGCAGTACGAACCTGGTGCTCCTTGCTGCAGTACGAACCTGGTGGTCCTTGCTGCAGTAGGCCACCTGCCTGCACCCCCCACAGCGCTTGCTGCCCCTCCACGTGCCACACCACGCGCACATGGGCACTGCGGGTGGAGAGAGGGAGGAAGGGACTTGAGCCACGAGGGGAGATGATGGGGAGGGGAGATGATGGGGAGGGGAGATGATGGGGAGGGGAGATGATGGGGAGGGGAGATGATGGGGAGGGGAGATGATGGGGAGGGGAGATGATGGGGAGGGGAGATGATGGGGAGGGGAGATGATGGGGAGGGCAGATGATGGGGAGGGCAGATGATGGGGAGGGCAGATGATGGGGAGGGCAGATGATGGGGAGGGCAGATGATGGGGAGGGCAGATGATGGGGATGGGGAGGGAGATGATGGGGAGGGCAGATGATGGGGAGGGGAGATGATGGGGAGGGCAGATGATGGGGAGGGCAGATGATGGGGAGGGCAGATGATGGGGAGGGCAGATGATGGGGAGGGCAGATGATGGGGAGGGGAGATGATGGGGAGGGGAGATGATGGGGAGGGGAGATGATGGGGAGGGGAGATGATGGGGAGGGCAGATGATGGGGAGGGCAGATGATGGGGAGGGCAGATGATGGGGAGGGCAGATGATGGGGAGGGCAGATGATGGGGAGGGCAGATGATGGGGAGGGCAGATGATGGGGAGGGCAGATGATGGGGAGGGCAGATGATGGGGAGGGCAGATGATGGGGAGGGCAGATGATGGGGAGGGCAGATGATGGGGAGGGCAGATGATGGGGAGGGCAGATGATGGGGAGGGCAGATGATGGGGAGGGCAGATGATGGGGAGGGCAGATGATGGGGAGGGCAGATGATGGGGAGGGCAGATGATGGGGAGGGCAGATGACCGGGATCATGGCTGAAGGTGAGCGTTGCTGCAGGGTTACTGGCGGGAGATGAGGGGGGGGGAGTGACCTTGGTGGGAGAGTGGTGTCCCAGGTGCATCCGGGGGGGGCGGGGTGAAGGCGTAGAAGGGGTTGGCGCGCGGCAGCTGGGTGCGCAGTGCACACACACTGTGGGCGGGCGATGATGGTGCATGGGCAGGGCATGGCGCATAGGGGGGACATGCACGCACACATTCCATGCAAACACACATTCCATGTAAACACACATTCCATGTAAACACACATTCCATGTAAACACACATTCCATGTAAACACACATTCCATGTAAACACACATTCCATGTGAACACACATGCAGATCACATTCGTATGGAAGCACGCATTCACTTTCACATGTACTTATGACGATAAACCACCGAGACACGTGCAGCACATAAGGCACATAAGGCAGGGCACCATGAGAACCTAAAGAGGCGTTTCAAAACGACACGCCATCCTCCATGCCGCCATGCTGTCATGCTGCCATGCTGCCATGCCGCCATGCTGCCATGCTGCCATGCTGCCATGCTGCCATGCTGCCATGCTCCCATGCTGCCATGCTGCCATGCTCCCATGCTGACATGCTGTCACGGACACGCTTCCATTCCAACAACAGAAATTCCCTCACTCCCCGTTCCCCCAACTCCACCCGCTCACCTTCGTCTCCTTTCCCTTGCTCTGCCGTCGGCCACCTCTGCCTGCTGCTGCTCCTGCTGGTGGCGGGTGAGGCAGTGCGGGTGGCGGCAGGCGAAGAGGAAGAGCGTGCGGTGGAAGGCAGAGGGCTCGCTGTCCACTGGCGCGTACACCTGCACGGGGAGAGGGGGGAGAGGTGCGCGCACAAGGAGTGTGAGTGAGATGAGGAGTGTGAGTGAGATGAGGAGTGTGAGTGAGATGAGGAGTGTGAGTGAGATGAGGAGTGTGAGTGAGATGAGGAGTGTGAGTGAGATGAGGAGTGTGAGTGAGATGAGGAGTGTGAGTGAGATGAGGAGTGTGAGTGAGATGAGGAGTGTGAGTGAGATGAGGAGTGTGAGTGAGATGAGGAGTGTGAGTGAGATGAGGAGTGTGAGTGAGATGAGGAGTGTGAGTGAGATGAGGAGTGAGTGAGATGAGGAGTGTGAGTGAGATGAGGAGTGTGAGTGAGATGAGGAGTGAGTGAGATGAGTAGTGAGTGAGATGAGTAGTGTGAGTGAGATGCTGAGTGTGCGTGAGTGAGATGACAACTATGAGTGAGAGCTGTGTGAGTGAGGAGCAGCAAGGTGACCTGCAGCAGGAATCGCAGGGGCTGGGAGCAGAAGTGGCAGAGGAGGGCGTCTGACGGCACGTTGAGCGGGTCCAGGTACGCCTGGTGGAGGGGGGGGATGGGGGGCACAGCACAGGACATGCCAGCATAAGATGGACGGCATAAGATGGACGGCATAAGATGGACGGCATGAGATGGACGGCATGAGATGGACGGCATGAGATGGACGGCATGAGATGGACGGCATGAGATGGACGGCATGAGATGGACGGCATGAGATGGACGGCATGAGATGGACGGCATGAGATGGACGGCATGAGATGGACGGCATGAGATGTTGTCAGGATCCATCCATGCCTCTCCATACACCATCGCATGCCTCTCCATCTGCCCATCACATGCCATCACATGCCATCACATGACATCACATGCCATCACATGCCATCACATGACTCTACGTCGTATCACATGCCTCCACATGGCAAGGCATCCTTTCGCGTTGGATGGGCTGCAACCGAGAGGCAGGGAAGGCACGGAACGACCACGAGCGCGGACTGGAGCCAACAGGCCGAGCAAGGTGCGACAGGTGCTGCTGGCGCCGAGGCACTGGGGCATGGGAGCACGCAGATCAGCGCGTACCACCAGCTCAAGCCTGGGATTGGCAGCACACGTGTCTTGGCGCACTCGCATCGTCACAACAGCGCCCTCATCGCATGCCGCCCACCTTTGCCGCCCATTTCTCATCCCATCTCGCTCATCACCCTCGCCTCACTCACCGGCGCGCCCCCGACTTTGCTCGGGAAGCGATGGCGTTCGAGCGACCAGTCGTGCGACGGCTTTTGCACGAACCCTAGCAGCACCACGTCGTCGCCACTGTCGCTCACGTCGTCGTCGTCGTCGCCTGCGACTTCCTCCTCCGCGCGTTCAGCGACTTGGTCATCAATGCCTTCCGCGCGGCTCTCTTCCTCCCCCCTGTCACTGTCCGTCGCTCCCCGCGCCATCGGCGCGCAGCCCTGCGAAGTAAATGTGATCCGACGAGGACGCGCGTGGTTTCACGCTAGGCGCGTTTCTGCTGCAGGAACAGGCTGGCGCAAGAGCACTAGGTTCAGGGGACAAGCGAGGGAAGGGGTTAGGGCGCGGCACAACCACCTCCGGACGAAGCAAATGTGACGATTTATACGAATCGTCACCACAAAGGGCGCGCTATGACATTTGGTCAATCGGTTCTCACGAACGGTGAGGGAAAATCTATCACAGATGGTCTCTCGTCTCCCCACACTGTTAGTAGGGAAAAGATCATACAGGGGCCGAACAGTGCCAGAGAGGTGATCAACCAGGGGCCGAGAGGACCGAAACTTACCAAACCACTGCGCGACGAGGGATTAACAGAGGGTCTTTGTTTATTGCACATAATTATGTTACTAGTGGCATGTACCGGCTCGCATTTTCGCTCGCGTGTCGCTTAGCGAGCCGACTCTACCGGGAACTCTAGGGCAGCCAGAAAAAAACTAAAACTCATAGGGAACCTGGATGTAATTTCGGGATGGATCAACCCTAAATAAGGGGCCCTCCCTGATATTTAGGGTTGATGACTCCCGAGTCGCATCCGTTTCCGAATGGGTAATATATTTTTTTTCTTAGCATTTCCGATCGGGTAGGTGATATGTATCACCTAGAATATATTATGTTGTTACGTACTCACGATTTCACACCCCGAATATTAATTCCAGAAGAAGACGACGCGCGCGCTGTAGTAGACGGCGGTCAAAATGTGAATTAAGAAAAACAGGAATGAGAATGACTAAGTGAAAGTTGGGTACAAGAAGCAAACCCTAGAAAACTGTACCCCATATGTGCTACCCCACTCTAGCCTACAGCAGCTATGTCATATAAATCTGACACACCCCCATAGGCAAAGTGGGGGAGAACAAGGGGTCACAAGACCAGTCAAGCAAAGCAAAGCAAAAACAAGCTCAGGGTGGATCACAAAGTCACCACACATTCCGAGCACAAGTTCAAGGCCACAAGGCCAGTTCACAAGCAGGAGTACACATATATATAAAAAAGGCTAGACAAACAAGAGCAGGTATATATATATGTAACAGTACAAGCAAGGTCAAGAGGTGAGCAAGTGAGGCAAGGTAGGCACAAGGCCCAGCTGAGTACAGAAGCGCTGATGGTCACAAGGCGCAAGTGCCTTGGTGAAGATATCAGCAGTGTTGGCCTCAGAGGCCACGTACGCAAGACGCAGCTGACCACGCTGCTGCAGCTCACGAGCAAGAAAGTAGCGGAGAGCAATGTGCTTCGTTCTGTGCTCCAGTCACTGCTCCCGACACAAGGCCAGCATGGCCTTGTTGTCTACGTACAGCACTGGAGGAGAACGAGGCAACTCTCCGAGGTCAGTCAGCAGGTAGGTGAGCCAGCGAAGCTCCTGTGCAGCCATGGCTCCTGCGTAGATCTCAGCCTCACAACTGGAGCCGAGAACAGAAGACGAGCGAGTAGCCCGCCACGAAACAGAGCCGGAACCAAGGCTGAAGGTGTAACCCTGTGACGACCGCTGCGTAGCCTGGTCGTCAGCCCAAGAAGCGTCTGCGTGCCCAGTAAGGACCACTGGACTCTGCCCTCCAAGCACAAGCCCCATGCCCGACGTACTGCACAAGTAGCGCAACACCCTCTTCGCTGCAGCCATGTGCTCCGGTCTGTGTCTCCCAGGAGCAACATAGCGTGCAAGAATGCTAAGAGGGTATGCAAGGTCAGGTCGTGTGCAGGTCATCAGGTACATGAGGCAGCCAACAAGCTCTGGGTACGGGCCACTCGACTCTACGGACTCATCCGAAGGCAGAGCTGAGAGCGAGTGGCGAGTAGGCAGAGGAGTGGCCTGAGGCGAGGAGTACGTGAAGCCGAAGCGCTGAAGGACCTGCTGCACCATGTGTGACAAAGTCAGGGTAATGGTGCGGCGTGCTCTGTCCCGAGTGATCTGCAAGCCAAGGTAGCTGCGCAGTTCACCCAGGTCAGTGCACGTGTGTCTCTTCTGCAGCTCGGACTTCACGTGGGCTAGTCCAGCAGTGTCAGCTGTGGCAAAGACCAAGTCGTCGACGTACACGAGGATGTAGAACGGCGGCAAAGAAGTGTCGGTGCGCAGAAACGACGACGGGTCGGCAGTAGAGGGAGCAAACCCAAGAGCCGCAAGTGTAGTCCTCAGTGTGTCGTGCCACTCACGCGGTGCCTGGCGGAGACCGTAGACTGGCCGCCGTAGGCTCCACTGGGTGCCAGGAGGAAAAGACCCAGTGAAGCCAGGTGGGCGACGCAGCCAGATCTCCTCGTGCAGGCTGCCCTGCAAGAGAGTGTAGCTCGTAGTCACGGTGAGCAGCTACGTGCAGCAGTACCCGAAGAGTGGTCATCTTCGGGGTGGGAGAGAAGGTCTGAAAGTAGTCAACTCCCTGCCGCTGACTGAAGCCACGAGCCACGTAACGCGCCTTGAAGACAGGCGGAGAACCCGGCGGTCGCTTCACCCTGAAAATCCACATGCCACTGACGATGTTCGCCCCAGGAGGGGGAACAGCGTCAACGTAGGTGCCTGTGGACTTCCAGGAAGCCATCTCCGCGTCCATAGCTGCCTGCCACTGAGAGGAGTAGGGACCCTCTATCGCCTCCGCGTAAGAGCGCGGAGTCGGGATGTCAAGTGCATCCGGGTCTCCCTCAGGGGTAAGCAGTACGGACACGAGATGAGGTGAAGCAGCGGCCAAGCACTGGAACTCCTCCTGCCTGTCCTCAAGGACGTCCGTGCCAAGGGCACACTCACCCCCGACGGACGGAGGACAGACAGACTCAGACTCAGCAACAAGACTGGCGACGTAGTCTAGGCGACAGCGAGCAGCAAAGTCGACGAGCTCAGCAACTAGAGCAGACGCAGCAGTGGACTCAAAGGAAGGGTCAGTGACAACCGTAGCAAGGAGACGCGTGACAGTAGGACTGGCAGCGCGAAGAGAGTCCGACTCCGGGTCGGCAAGAGTAGGAAGAGAAGACTCAGGAGGAGAAGGCAAAGGGGCACGCAGAGGAGCAGTGGACGGACGCAGAGACATCCGGTGCGTGCCAGGGACAGGAGGAGGACGCTGACGCGAACCGCGACCACTAGTGCGAGCAGCACGGACAGGCGACGCAGGGCGAGACGCAGGCTCACGACGCTCAGCAAGACCTCCAGTAGGACCAGTGTAGGGAGACGGAGCAGGCAGTGGGGAGGCCGGCTGTAACTGTAACTGCGACGGGACAGGCTGTGGACACTCTAAGGGAGGAGGAGGACCAGTAGAAGGCGGGAGACCAAGAACCTGCTGAAGGAGCGGAACGAAGTACGGCCGAGGCCGCACGGCGACTCCAGACACAGGAGGGACAGCACCAGCACCCGCAGGGGCAGCACCAGCACCAGTAGCAGCTCCAGCTCCAGAACCCCCAGCAGCACCAGTAGTACCCCCAGCAGGACTGCCTCCAGGACCGACAGCAGTAGCCTCCGCGCCAACACCCGCAGCAACTCCAGCTCCAGAAGTACCCGCAGGTCCAGCAGCTCCAGAACTCCCAGTACGAGCACCTCCGGGACCCGTGGCACCAGCTCCCTCAGAAGCAACAGAACCTCCAGTACCCGCAGCACCTCCAGCTCCAGCAGCTCCAGCAGCTCGCCTCCAGCGCCGGGCAAACCACTCACGCAGCTCCTGGGGAGAGAGTGGCTCTCGGCGAGAGGGAGCACCCGGTGAACCGCCAGGCACAGCACCACCAGGCGTAGCACCCCCAGGCTCAGCACCTCCAGGCGTAGTACCCCCAGGCTCAGCACCCCCAGACGCAGCACCCCCAGGCTCAGCACCTCCAGGCGTAGTACCCCCAGGCTCAGCACCCCCAGTCGTAGTACCTTCAGACTCAGCACCCCCAGGCTCAGCACCCCCAGGCTCAGCACCCCCAGGCGTAGCACCCACACGCTCAGCACCCCTAGAGTCAGCACCCCCAGGCTCAGCACCCTCAGCAGCACCAGAGTCACCAGCGACCTCGACAGGCTCAACAGCGTCTACCTGGGACACACCTGAAGGGGCAGGACCCTGAGGGGGGAGGGGGTCTACCGGGGGGGGACCTGGTACAAGGAAGAGCGGTGGCGGGGGGAGGGACGGAGTGCGGTAGGGGAAGAGGCGGTAGTAGGGGACCGACTCGTCGAACGTGACGTCCTGGGAGGACAGAACACGGCGAGAGGTGGGGTGGTAGAACTGCCACCCTGGGGCGTCAGGGGGAAAACCCAGGAAGACGCAAGGAGCAGCACGAGGGGACAGCTTGTCCGCAGACAAGTCGCGGACAAACGCCCGAGATCCCCGTCCACAGCAAAGCTGGGGAGGTCTCCGGCATGGAGACCCTGGGCTGAAGGTTGATCTGATGCGCCGCGTACCGAACCGCAAACGGCCACAGAAAATGGGGGGCAGCCGCATGCATCATGGACGTACGGGCGACGTCCATGACCATGCCAATGCGGCGCTCAGCAATCCCATTTTGCTGTGGAGAGTCCAGAAGCGTGAAGGTCTGGCGGATGCCTCGTGCACGACAGTAGGCTCGCAGAAGGCCAGAGGAGAACTCTCCGCCTCTGTCAGAGTGCAGACGCAGAACAGGAAAGTCCGAGCCAAAGCTCCGCCTGAGCTGGAGACGAGCTGCGCGGATCCAGTCGATCAACACCTCAGTGACATCACCCTTGCTGCGCAAGGGGAAGACTGTAGTGTAACGCGAGTAGTCGTCAACCACCAGCAGGAAGTAGCGCTCGTGACCCTGTCCACGGACGCGGGCCGGGCCCCACACGTCCATGTGAAGCGTCTGCAGCGGGGCCTCTGTCGGAGGAAACTGGGAGGAGTGAGGGGTAGCCCGCTGCCGTCCCTCGACACAGGGGACGCAGGTAGGGCCTGGCCCCGGAGGAAGGGGAGGGAGGGACCGGGGAAGACCAGAGACAAGGACACGGGAGGCCATGCTCCGGAGACGAAGC